ACAGAACTGGTAGTATTATGTTTCCGTATATGTGGAACCCCTCGGACAGATGTGGAACCCCTCGGACAGAACTGGTAGTATTATGTTTCCGTATATGTGGAACCTCTCGGACAGATGTGGAACCCCTCGGACAGATGTGGAACCTCTCGGACAGAACTGGTAGTTTTATGTTTCCGTATATGTGGAACCCCTCGGACAGATGTGGAACCCCTCGGACAGATGTGGAACCCCTCGGACAGAACTATAGCAGTAGTATGTTTCCGTATATATGAGGAACCCCTCGGACAAATATTTGGAACCCCCTTTAAAGAACTAGCCACAATAAATCAGAGGGGAAATTGTCTGATTGCTCGGGACGATTTACCTTGAAAACACCATCGTAACAGTCTCGTGTTTCGTCGACTCGTAAAAAGGATTATGCAGCAAATGTTCTCTGTTCGTATCGCTACCTACATGTAGCTGGGACGTCGCCCACACACAGGCATAGTTGTGTGATAGTGAAATCTAGAAAATGTCAACGTTAACAAATTTCTTTTTAAAGATCTACTTCATTTCACGAATGTTCACTTTTATGTGTTATCGTTCTATCTGTGAATGAGTCATCAACTAAATTCCAATGCCTGCGATCATTTCACGTCACGTAATTTAACTCATGTGCAGTCACAAGGAAAATTATTTCATTACATGTACGTTGTTCACACTGTGTGGCGATGCTCAACTTAAACTGGTGGTGCATATTTTTACAAAAATGTTATGTTATAGAGTAACGTGTTCATCGCAAGGACCTGACACATAACTAATAGCATACAAAACATCACAGGGATCTGACACATAGCTAATAACATACAAAACATCACAGGGACCTGACACATAGCTAATAACATACAAAATATCACAGGGATCTGACACATAGCTAATACCATACACAAACATCACAGGGGCCTGACACATAGCTAATAACATACCAAACATCACAGGGATCTGACACATAGCTAATAACATACCAAACATCACAGGGATCTGACAAATAGCTAATAACATGCAAAACATCACAGGGACCTGACACATAGCTAATAACATGCAAAAACATCACAGGGATCTGACACATAGCTAATACCATACACAAACATCACAGGGGCCTGACACATAGCTAATAACATACCAAACATCACAGGGATCTGACACATAGCTAATAACATACCAAACATCACAGGGATCTGACAAATAGCTAATAACATGCAAAACATCACAGGGACCTGACACATAGCTAATACCATACAAAAACATCACAGGGGCCTGACACATAGCTAATATGATACAAAAACATCACAGGGATCTGATATATAGCTAATAACATGCAAAACATCACAGGGACCTGACACATAGCTAATACGATACAAAAACATCACAGGGGCCTGACACATAGCTAATACGATACAAAAACATCACAAGGCCTGACACATAGCTAATAACATGCAAAAACATCACAGGGACCTACATAGCTAATAACACACAAAAACATCACAGGGGCTTGACACATAGCTAATAACATACAAAACATCACAGGGACCTGACACATAGCTAATAACATACAAAACATCACAGGGGCCTAACACATAGCTAATACCATACACAAACATCACAGGGACCTGACACATAGCTAATACCATACAAAAACATCACAGGGGCCTGACACATAGCTAATAACATGCAAAACATCACAGGGATCTGACACAAAGCTAATAACATACAAAACATCACAGGGGCCTAACACATAGCTAATACCATACAAAAACATCACAGGGATCTAACAAATAGCTAATATCATACACAAAATCACAGGTACCTGACACATTGCTTATACTATACAAAACATCACAGGGATTTGACACATAACTAATAACATGCAAAAACATCACAGGGATCTGACACATAACTTATTACATACAAAAACATCACAGGGACCTGACACATAGCTAATAACATACAAAAACATCACAGGGATCTGACACATAGGTTATACCATACAAAAATATCACAGGGATCTGACACATAGCTAATACCATACACAAACATCACAGGGACCTGACACATAGCTAATAACATGCAAAAATATCACAGGGATCTGACACATAGCTAATACCATACACAAACATCACAGGGGCCTGACACATAGGTTATACCATACAAAAATATCACATGGACCTGACACATAGCTAATAACATGCAAAAACATCACAGGGATCTGACACATAGGTTATACCATACAAAAATATCACAGGGATCTGACACATAGCTAATACCATACACAAACATCACAGGGACCTGACACATAGCTAATAACATGCAAAAATATCACAGGGATCTGACACATAGCTAATACCATACACAAACATCACAGGGGCCTGACACATAGGTTATACCATACAAAAATATCACATGGACCTGACACATAGCTAATAACATGCAAAAACATCACAGGGATCTGACACATAGGTTATACCATACAAAAATATCACAGGGATCTGACACATAGCTAATACCATACACAACCATCACAGGGACCTGACACATAGCTAATAACATCCAAAAACATCACAGGGATCTGACACATAGGTTATACCATACAAAAATATAACAGGGATCTGACACATAGCTAATAACATACAAAAATATCACAGGGTTCTGACACATAACTAATAACATACAAAAACATCACAGGTACCTGACACATTGCTTATACTACACAAAACATCACAGGGACCTAACATGCACGTAAAGCTAATACCATACAAAACATCACAAGTTCCTGACACCTAATCAATTCCATACAAAACATCACAGGGACCTTAAACATAGCTAATACAATACAAAACATCACAGGGACCTGACAAATAAGCTTATACAATACAAACACAGGGCCCTGACACAGAATCTATTTGAAATACAAACTTTTACATGGTCCTTAATGATACAATTTACTAAACTTCACAAGGACTTAGATACGTAGCTTAAACAATATTCAATATTCCGAACAGTTTTATTATTATATCATTTTAATTTTCCCTTCTTTCCTTTTACAGGACATGTTCTTTGATCTAGATGTGGACGGTAAGAATTTCGTCAACCAGGTCGTATTTGTGAAGGAGATGAGCAGAGCGCCGAGACGGTAAGGTCTATGATGTAACAGTTTTAAATCTATAGCGGTGTTTTATACATGTACAAGGGGGAGGGGGCGAGAGAATGTTGGAAAATAAGTAACAAAGACCAAAGCGGTGTGAGTTAATTATTTTCTCAACTTTTTTCCAATCCCGGGTTTTATATTTCATCAATCTATTCTTCCACGTAATCTACATAATAAGCATGTAATACAAATGTGTTTTCGTATCTACCCCAATGTCCATATAGGTCTATAGTTATGAAATGGGACCTAGATGCATGTAATTCAATACTTTAAGTAAGACTCTTCTTGCACGTGCAAAAATTCGTCATGTGACGCTGTTTTCTTCATTTTACAACAATCTGCACGTTTGTATCATTTCTGACGCTGTGCAGGTTGTCTGTGTCTGTTTAACCTGGATAATTCTGTTTTAGGCCTCCTCGATACCCCTCAGGTTACGTTCGCTTAAGCTCTCTGCAACCCTGGAAAATGTCATAACAAAATTAAAGGCTCACGGCTACGCTCTCTGCACCCCTGGAACATGTCATAGCGAAATCGAAGGCACACGGCTAGCTATTTGATTGGTCTTAGGTTAAAAAAACCTGTCCAATCATTATGCTGAAACCGTTGTTTTGAAGATTACAAAGGAGCGACGCCCGACTTAAAGCCAGTCAATTTTACCGTTACGCGACCGCGATGTTTTTTTTATGAACATCGAAGATGCACACTGAGCTTTCAATTTTGCTATGACATATTCCAAGGGTGCAGTAAGCGTAAGTGAGTATTGAGGATGGTTTAGTATACGTAAGTGAGTATTGAGGATGGTTTAGTATACGAATTGACCTGTCCTGCATTAGTTTTTCACAAGTTGCCGTGTTTGTTTTTATAGACAAGCGTATGAGGCAGCCTTCGATATGAAAGACTTCAACAGGGATGGGAAGCTGGGCCAGGACGAGATAACCAACGCCTTCCAGATTGTCGGGGTGAAGGATGAGCTCGTGAAGAAGTTCTTCAAAGAGGTGGACATTAATAAGGACGGCTATATTTCCAAGACGGAGTTCATGAAGATGGTGTAACGACTAGATGGATCATCTTGGTCACGCTCTCTGGAAGAACTGACCTGTGTCATTCCCGAAGCGTTTCATTTGAATGTCGTTCGAATGAGTTCCATTGCTTTAACCTAAAGTTGATCACGTGGCAATGTTCCATGTCGTTGTTTAGATATATTTATTTTTTTGCTTTTAGTGATTTCGCTTTATCATTAATCCTTTTATATGGCAAATGTGTGACGTCAACAGTTAATATCAGTGAGATCCATATCCCCTACATTGGCAATTTTACATTTTTTGCCATGTTCAATCCTTCAATAAATCATCCGGTCGTAAACAACAATTGGAGCTACTACGCAAACAGCTAATCGGGAACCGTCGGCATTTTCCGTGTTCTCACGTTAACAGGAAGTGCCGACGGTTTCCGATTGCAGACAGCTTCTGTATTGATATTTGTTTTGAGAACTATCGGAGACCAACGTGTAAATATCTTCTGTGATCCTGAACACTTAGTCACTTCCATGTTTGTGAACCACGTTGACATCTGTGTCTGTGCCTCCGTGGACAATAGTTGTGTTTTTACATATGATAATTGGCATTTGTCTTGTCCATATGTGTGTACGTCATGTAACCCTGGTGCTAGTTGTTTTTCCAACCTGTAACTGTATTTGACTTCATGATTGTAGGCGTCAATCATAATTGTATCTGCATTACATGTACTCATTATTTTCTTTTCGTTAACGAATCTAACTTGACAATAAATATAGATCATTTATAGCATAAAGTGTTTTTCTTCACATAAACTTTGTTTCTTTTACAACAATTATAAAACAAGTTATTTCAACTTATATTAATCACTCTTGTTGGCCCGGATTTTAGCGCACGGAGTGTCTTAATGTGGGAGGAAACTGGAGTACCAGGAGAAAACCCATGTGGTCGGGCAGGTGACCCATACCTTTTCACGTCCGATCGGGGAATCGAACCCCTGCCGCCTTGACTTGCTATTCACTGCACCACCAACGACCCTGTTAGTGGTTTTTTTCTGGGTAATCGACTTAACAGATAATAGATACAGGTGTAGTCAGATCAAATGACCTGTGGCGTTGACCTTTTCGTGGAATAGTCATATCGGGCGATTGCAATGCATACGTCGCGACTCGAAACTTTCATTGGGTGATCACTTTATTTGAATGATAGATTTGTCTGTGTTTCTCATAAAAATAATTCCTCATTTGTTCTCAATTTGGTTATCGGAGTTCAACACGACATGTCACTATGATTTGACCCATTACTTACTACATGTATCTGTTTATTGCTGTTTGTTACTCGATCCATTTCTATCATTCTTCACGAATTTAATGACACTTTATGGTAACATATGAATAGGATATTCTCATTATTGAAAAATAATTATCATTTTAAAATTGAAAACGAAATATTCATGAAGGCTAAGTTTGTTTTGAACACAAACATGATTTGAAAACTTATTTTGCGAGCTTTTGAAAACGTCTGTTTCCTTTGTCAAATAAGTTTTCAATTCCTGTTTGTGTTCAAAGCATACTTTTTTATTCATACAAAACTGATGACGCTTATTCCGAAATAGTCATGGCTTAATATTTAAAACGATCCTATTCCGATAATATAGACAACACTACTTGCATAGTAACCTGTTTTGGTGGAATTGTATAGTATATATCATGCACTGTAAATTAAAGGATTCGTATTTCATAACAGACAAAACACTAGAGAGTTCCACTTTAGGTTTTCGTACAAACAGCAACGGTAACTATACACAGGAATGTTTTTTCTAGCGTGACTACACATTTGATAAATTATTTCTGAAAAGAAAACCATACCTTGCGCGACTTCTATGAAAAATAATGATGAAATAAACAAAATATACATGTAACCAACAATAGTGTTTTGAGTGAAAAAAGTTCAGCGGGTCAGACCAGGATTCGAACCCCGAACTTCAGGTTGTTGCTCTAACTATCGCTCTAACCGACTGAGGAACTACCTGGTCAACGGGAGCGTCCTTGCCCAACTGTTCTACGGGTTTACCC